GCAACTTAAGAAGTTAATGGTCCCTTGAGGCAAAGTAACTAAAAAAGGTCTCTTTTGGATGTCTGAATTATGTGAATATGTCAGTCATCTTCAAAATTGGCAGAGAATCATTCCATACTCTAAAGAACTAGAGTTTTGAAAGAACTCAGTGTCTTTAGGAAATGGAAGCAGAGCTGAACCAGGAAAAGATGTGTGCACAATGAAGCTATAGAGACATGTATGTATCACCAGATCATACAGGGCCCTGATAAGATTACAGAGTAAGAATCCCCAGAAATTAATCTTTCCACAGGAATAACTATTGAGCTGGCAAAAACTGTCAGGATCCATTATTCAAGTTCTCTGGAGTCTAGCTGAACACTTACAGCACTGAGGGAGAGTATTTGAGGACGAAAAAGGCTAGGAAATGCTGATGAGTTTTGCTTTACTGTTTCCTGTAGCAGCTAGTCTTCTGCATCCCCAAGAATGTAGGTAGACATTCAATGGCAATGGTAACTAACCAGTACTCCTGGTGCACTTTCTGGTGCAAAGTGGGAAATAAGGATTCTGTCTCCAAAAATTAGGGATGTATGTATGTCTTAATCTCCCAGAACAATGCTGACCATTGTTTCAACTCCATTTTGCTGAAGGGGCTGCCCAGACAAAGATACTACAAGAGAAGAAACCACAGACCAATAGATGCAAAAGTCTAAAAATATCAACAAACCTAATCCAAAAGCACATTAAAAGGATTACACAGCAAAACCACCTGGGATTTAGCTCAGGAATGATACACGGTTCAACAGAAAAAAACAAATCAATGTAATAAACCAAATTAATAAAACCAAAAAAAATCACATAATTATCTCAAAATTTGTTACAATTGAGCCCATCACTGCTGTCACTGTGCCAATCCATCTCATTGGGGGTCTTCCTCTTTTTAAACTAAACATGATGTCCTTCTCCAGGAACCAGTCCCTTCTGATAATATATCTGATGTATGAAGGACGAAGTCTGGCCATCCTGGATTCCAGGGAGCATTCTGGTTGTACTTCTTCCAACATAGATTGTTTTGTTCTTTTGGCAGCCCATGGTACTTTTAATAATCTCCTACAACACTATAGCTCAAATGTATTAATTCTTCTATGGTCTTCCTTATTCACTGTCCAATTTTCATATGCATATGAGGTTACTGAAAATACCATGACTTGGGAAAGGTGTACCTTAGTCCTCAAACTGACATCTTTGCTGTTGAACACTTTAAAGACGTCTTGTGTAGCAGATGTGGTCATTTGATTTCTTGACTGCTGCTTCCATGAATGTTGATGGTTGATCTGAGTAAAATGAAGTCTTTGACAACTTCAATCTTTTTTCCACTTATATGGATGTTGTAAATTGGTCCAGTAGTGAGGATTTTTGTTTTCTTTTCATTGAGATGCAACCCATACAGAAGGTTATGGCCTTTGATCTTCATCAGTAATGTATTTTAAGTCTCTGGCTTTCAGCAAGCAAGGTTCATCTGCATATCACAGGTTGTTAATGAGTCTTCCTCTGATCCTGATGCCATGTTTTTCTTCATATAATCCTGTTTCTCAGATTATTTGCTCAACAGACAGATTGAATAAATACACTGAAGGAATAAAATAGATAGGGAGGCAACAACACAAATGAAGTATGCATACGATAGAATGGTGACTCATTCAAGATCATAAGGGCAGCATTTACCTAAGGGCAAAATTCACAAGAGTTGTGAAAGAGGAATGGTAACAGGAAACGCAGGGTTACACAGAGGAGACTGCAATTGAGATTACTGATTTGTTGAACATAAAAGGGATGATGTGCTCTATAAGCATTCACTCAATTCACAATAAAGTTTAATATAAATCTTTATCTAGCTGTTCATCTGGCCATCTATCTCATCTGTCTGCACTAGACTGTGAACCACATGATTGGCAGTTCAAGCTCACCAGTTGCTCTGTGGGGGTAAAAAAAGATAGATGAGGCTTTCTGCTCCTGAACAGATTTAAAACCTTGGAAACACTATGCAAGGTGGCTATGAGTCAGAAGCTACTCGAAAGCACTAACAACAACATCTATCTGTCTGTCTGTCTGTCTATCTTGTTGTTGGGTGTTGTCAAGTCGGTTCTGATTCTTAGAGACCCTGTATAGGGTTTCTGAGGCTATAAATCTTTATGGGAACAAAAAGCCTCATCTTTTTCCCTTAGGGAGGCTGATGGGTTTGAATTGTCATCCCTGCAACTAGTAGTCCAGTGCTTACCCCACAGAGCCATCAAGGTTTTCTATGATATATATGTATATATTTCCACCTCTGTGCTTTAAATATGTTAAATATGATGTCTCAAAAGATGGAGCTGTTACTACCACTGGTTTCCTCAGACAAAATTTTGTTTCTCTCCAAGTGTCTGGCTCATATTAGGAGATTAAAAACTGCTGGAGAGGCAGGATGAACAGTGAAGAACTAAAGAATCAGGCAGACCAGGATATGAATTGAAGCCTAAAAATTTACGGATTAGGACTCTCAGATCAAAATTTCTTATCTGACCTCTATTGAGCCCCAATTTCTTCAGCTTTAAAACTGCAAAAAACAATAGTTACAGACTGTTGCAAGGAAAATGTACTTCAAGTATTTACACATCATGCCTGGCTCACAGGAAACACAATGAAATGGTTTTGTCATAATATATGGACTATTTATTATACTGGACTCCTGGAATGGCACTGTAGGATAAGCACTGGGATGCTAACCACAAGGTTGGTGGTTCAATCTCACCAGTTATTCCTTGGAAACCCTCTGCAGGGTCACTATGAGTTCCAGCCGATATGACAGCACTAACATTTATTACAAAAGAGCTGAAAATTCCTTACTGAGTACCCAAGTTTCCTCAAGTAAAACAACAGTCAGCCTTGTATCTCCATTCTAGTGCACTGTAGGATAAGCACTGGACTGTTAACCACAAACTCAGCGATTGACACTCACCACCCACTCCTCAGAAATATAGGTTCTCTGTACAGAGTTGCTAGTTAGAACCTACTCTTGGCACTCAACAACAATGTACAATTAGGCTTGTGCTCTGAAGTCTTTAAATTCAAAACCATACTCACTGCCATGGAGTTGGTTCCTACTCATAGCAACCCAGTATAGGGTCTTGAAGGCTGTAAATCTTTACAGGAGCAGAAAGGCTTGTCTTTTTCCTGCTGAACAGCTGGTGGGCTTCAACTGCCAACGTTGAGGTTAGCAGTCCAGTGCTTATCCTACAGCTCCATACCAGAGCCACAAAAGGCTTTATAAGGATGTCCTTATTCATTGGTATGTCACAGTTGGTATGCAGCCAACAAACATAATGAATGCATTACTCTAGTAAAGAATGGTGATAAGGCCATTTCCAGCTTTCGATACTGAATACATACCCTCGCCTACCCCCATACCCAAGTGCCCTATGCCTGGCTTTCCCCCTTCAAAGCAGCCTTAAGAAGCATGTTTGTAAAAGGGTGAAACATTAGCTCTTTAGTGGTCAAACTGATAAGAAGCCGTGCTTCATGCATAGCAGCGGAACAATTAGGCGCCCTCCAAAAATAAACACAAACCATTGTTTGTTGGAGTAGGATTCTAAAGACCTGTGTTGCCGTTAAGTGCCTTCCAGTCGGTGACTCACAGTGATCCTGTATAGGGTTTCAGAGGAGCAGCTGGTGAATTTTAACTGCAGACCTTGTGGTTCGCAGTCCAGTGCTTATCCTATAGAGCCACACCTGAGTCCTAAGGACAAAGCAGAACTGCCCCATATGGGTTCCTAGGTTGTAATTCTTTATAGGAGCTAACTGCTACATTTTTCTCTCGAAGAGAGGGTTTGAACCACCAACCTTTTCGTTAGCAGTCAAACTTAACTACTACATTCCTTCTCCACAAACACTTGCCAGAAATCTAATAGTGAGTGTGCAGGCAACAAACAAACAAACAAACAGGACTCATCCGGGATTGAAATGCAGGCGTGGAAAGTGACAAAAGTAACATTGTTGTTAAGTGCCATCTAGTCGGTTCCGATTCATAGTTTATGGATTAGTAACTACCCCCAGCCCAGTTTCTTAAAGTGCAATTAAATCTGTCCAATCTCCCACTGCCCACCACTCCGCTCCCATAAGGCCACACCTGGTATATTCAAGGCAGAATCTCCAACTCGCGCCACAAATTTGGGACGTGTCCGCCTCTAAGCGGAAGTGACATAAAAAGGGACACAACATGAAAGTAGGAGGGTTCAAATATCCAGGAATCTAAAACCTAAGGTGTTCTGGGATAAGTCATATTCTAGATCCCCTATCCTTTCTTTCATATGTGAAGGTTGTGAAAAGGGTTCGGCACAGCCTTGGTGACAACTATTTCCTCTCTCTAAAATATTGCCAAAACTTGTCCAGGGAAGCGGAATGAGACTATCCTTGAACTACTATTCCCTTCAGGCACCGCGACTAATAAATGGGGGTAGGGGGGAGGGGGAGAGCAAAGCACCTTGGGATTTGTAGTCATACCCAAGCCAGACGGCTGATCCCTCCGCCTACCGCCAGTGAGGCTAAAGAAACCAGGTGTTCATCTTAAAACCCGTTTACGCTAAGGGGAGGGCAACCCCTTAAGCAGCATTCCCATATATAGGGTAAAAATAGGATACCATACACCAAAGCACTATATGTACTAACAGAATAAACATGGCTTGCTTTTCAATATTTTCAATTCAGGAAAGATTCCTGAAACTCCACCACCTTAAGCTTCAAATCGTGAGAAAAGGTAGCCCTTTTACAAGTGGGCAATATGGCTGTCCTCCCAGTTTTATCATTGGTTATCCTTTGCGTCTTTCAAGGGCGTTTACTTGCCATGATTGGTCCATTTTCTTTTGGAAACGACAAAGGGGCGGAGAGAAGGGTGTTTCTTTAAGAGTTATTGGTCGATTTTCACGTCACTCTATGGGAGTACAACCTATGATTAGTCGGCTTCTCCTCGAAATGATCTGGGAGGAGGGGCTAGTGCGTGATGGGAAGGGGCGGGATTCTGCCAGCAGCGGCTGCCGCTGGAGCCGGTGTCCGGGCTGGTGATGGGGTTAATTGCCTATCGTAAGACTCTTCCTTGCACCCACCCAGCCCGCCGTCGCCCCGCCGCGCCGCAGTCCAACCGCCTTCTCCTTCTTCTCAGTAACGCGGGTAAGAGATACACTCCCCTTCCCCCTCCAGGTCCCCGGGAATAACGCGCCTCGCTCCCCTCCCCCGCCCGCCAACCGGTAGCGCTAACGGAGAAGGAGGCAGGCAGGGGCGAGATGTGCAGTGTGAGAAGGTGGCCTTCTCGCTGAGCTGCCGACGCTCCAGCCGGGCCTCGGTAAGGACCTGCTGCTGCCAAGCCGCTGGGAAGTCGGCTTCCCAATGCGTCCGGCTCGCCTCGCCAACCGCTGCGGCTGCAGCCACTACCGTATGCCCACAGCCCCCATCCGGGGGCCATGTGTAAAGCAAACCCCTGGAGGCCTAGCAGAGGCGGCAGGGGAGACGTTCCGTGTTCCAGCCATGGCTGTGGCGGCGGCGGTTCCTGCTGCTCTTGCAGCCCGAGGGACTCGGGGACCAGCCACAGCAGGCCTGCCTGGAGCGGGTGCCTGACAGTCATGCCCGCGCCACCCGCAGCCCCGGCCTGGCCTTGGACAGTGTGCGGAATGGCAGGCTATCTCCTTGCCCCTGACGGGGGCTGGCCGACCCGTCTGTGAGATGTCGGGACACCTGGTGTATGGAACCAGAAGAAGCTCTATGAGAGTTTAAAAAGAAAGCCGAATGGCTGTCAGTTCCATGGACCCAGTTGAGGTTTAGGCTGTACCCCCATATCCTTGTGTGTTGCTCATGGTTTTGGTTTCCGGTTTTGTTGTTGTTAGGTGCAAATGAGTGTCACTGTTCTCTGAGCGTGTTTCTGAAAACTTGTTGATGAGCTGGTATAATTGTAATGGGACAGCAAGTCAACTCAGTAAAAAAAAAAAAGCTGTTCTCTGCATTACATTTAGCAAACATATAAGTTGATTTTTGTAATAAAGATTCCCCGAGGGAAAAAATGAATATATGCAAGGGGCTTCAAAAAGTTCATGGAAAAAATGGAATGAAAAGCTAATGGAATTCTAACACGAACTTTTCAAAATCTCCCTGGTATGTGTGTGGATGTGTACATCTATATGTGTGTTTATCTCCAGGGTTGTGGTTCAACCAGTTAGAACTATGAAGAAACCATTTGCTTTTAGCTTTGATGTTATTGACCACCAGAACTTTTGGGTAATTAAAAGATGTAAAGTCAAGTCGAAAGTCCGCTCATAAAATTTGAAAACAGTAAGATACACATAATAGTTGATATAGTAGAATAACATAATGAAAACTGCAATTGGACACTCGTACAAATGTAACAAAACTTAGCAAATTTGGCCACATTCTGGGGTGTTCGATTATTACTTCATCACATTTTGTTGAGAGATGATCTTTTTAAAGATAACTTTTTTTTTTTGGTCTGGGAAAATATATCCTCAAATAATGAATTCTGTAATCTGACATGCCTGTAGTCAGAAATAACTTCTAGACCATTTCTGAGTTTTGTTACTGAAATAAACCTGCGTTCTGAATGGCTGAGCTTTGACTAAAGGGTAGACGTTTCTTCAGGATCTGAGAAGACTGTGATGGTATTCTATAAATAACGTATCTAGATCTAGAATTTACATAGATCCATAGATAGTGTTGGAGTCCTGGTGTGACGCTGTGGGTTAATGTACCAGACTGCAGAGCCATTTGAACTGCATTGTCGGTGGTTCAAGCTCACGGGTTCAAGCTCACCAGTCATTCCTCCTCAGAAACTCTATACAGGGTCGCTATGGGTCGAAACCGACTCGATGGCACTTAACAACAACACAATGTTAATTTAAAAAAAATTAGTGAAATAATACCTTGAAATGTAAATTCTCTAACCACTCCTCACCTCCCAGAATACATAGTGTACTTGGCCCAGCATAATGTTTTCTAAAGTTTGCGGATTGATTGATAAATTTGTACATCTGTTAGTTTCGAACCGCATGTGATTTATGTACAGAAAGAGCTGATGAAGATATAGGAGGCTTTTACATTCTTTCCCTCTCTGAGCTTCAATTCAGTTTACTCTGTAAAATAGGAATGATAATGCTTACCTTATAGGGTTATGAGGTACAGATACAACCCCTAGCACAGTGCCTCATACACAGTTGTTACCTGCTGTGGAGTCTGTTCCAACTCATAGCGACTCTGTATAGGGTTTCCAAAGAGTGGCTGGTGACTTTGAACCACCAGCCTTTTGGTTCAAACCCACCAGCTGCTCCTCAGAAATCCTATACACGGTTGCTATGAGTTGAAACCAACTCAATGGCACTTTCCAACAAACAACAACAGTTACTATTGACATGGGATCTCAATGAGTTGGAATCTACTCCATGGCAACTAACAATAACAATCTTATTTTCATGCTATTAAGAAAATTCGTTTGTTGTTCACCCACTGGGTATTGTGTCAGCTCCCAGAATAATATGTTGTTTGTGAGGAATTACTACGGGAGATACAGTGACTTAAATAAGTATATTTTGCAACTAGCCAAGTTTTAAAGCAAAATAGTTAGGAAAATGATGATCAGGTTAAAAAAAAAAAAAGTCTTTGTCTTAGGGACCATTTTCTGTTTTTGAATTAAATTACAAGTGTTTGTGGAATCTATTTCACTTCTTTTATTTGGAATAAAGTTCATATACTTCAGGTTGTAGTGGCAAACATGTTAATTCTTTTGAAAAAAATTTTTCAGCTGATTTGTGTTTCTAGAACTAGTTATCTAATTGTTACCCATATCAGGCAAAGCTACACTTGAGTTCTAATGCAAAAGTTATATTGAACAAGTGCTTTGAATGTGTTAAGGCCAATACTGGCCGACTCCAATCTTTTTTGTGCTGCTGGACCTTTAAAGTTCTCATTATTTATCAACCTCTTCAGCATTTCTTGCCTCTGAAACAGGCCAGATGCAATTTCTTTCTCCTCCCACTTACTTTTTTTTTTTTTTTAATTAAATGTTTTTATTTTGCATTGAGTGAGAGTTTACAGGGCACATCATCAGCTTCAAATTCAACCATTCATATAGCTTGTTTCATTGCATTGATTATTATCCCCGCCATATATCATCAGTTTACAGTGTTTCTCTCTATCCTCTTTAGCTTTTTTTTTGGATGGGGGGGGACTTGGCTTATTGGAATTTACAGTCTTGGCTTTTAGGGAAGGTTTTTACATTTGTCTGTGGATATCCAGGGCTCATGTATGAGATTACTAACAAGCATTACTGAATAATCAGATGAGGGACAGTTTGTTATGTCTACTAGGTGGCTAGAGTCTGATCCTCAGAGCCTATGGTTTGGACGGTCAACAACGCTTGGGCCCACAGGGGCTTGGCCTCCTGACCGGGTCTGTGCTGTCTGCATCTGAGTCCTCCTTATTTATTGATTGTTTAAGGGACGCTGCCTGTCTTAGGTGGTCAGTGCGAATTCCTCAGTCTTACCAGTCATTGAGATCCTCCCACTTACTTTTGAAAAGACTTGTACACTGGTTCTTCTCACACACTGGTGCCCTTGGAGTTTTTACTGCCAGCTAAATTTAATGTTAGCATAAAGATAGTGTTATAATGAACTCTTTCTGATAGTAATACCCCAGCCAGGTTTCAAGGTAGATGCACTTTATGCTGAATAAGGAGCTGAAGTAAATAATGTTGTCACTGTCACCCAGGTTATCGAACCCAACAAAATCACACCTCGAAAAGGCCTAACACAGTGGCAGAAGTAGAAAATTAAAGAGAATTGAATTAAGCCTTTTTAGATAATATGCAGAAGACCCGTACTTTTTAAAGAATAAAAGAGGTTTGAATTTCTTAAAGTTAGTAGTCTTTAGGAGGAACTATGGTGTGGCACTGTAAGGAGCTGTGGTTACAAATTGGGCTGCTAACCTCATACGGTCAGCAGTTCGAAACTGCCAGCTGTTCTGCAGGAGAAAGATGAGGCTTTCTGCTCCCATAAAGATTTACAGCCTGTACAGAGTCACTGAAACCCTGTACAGAGTCACTGTGAGTCTGAATTGACTCCACGGCACATAACAACAACAATAGTGGTGTGGCACTATAGAATGTGGCACTGTGGGTTAATGGTTCAAGCTCACCAGCTGCTCCTCAGAAACCCTGTACAGGGTCACTGTGGGTCAGAACTGATTTGAGGCCACTTAACAACAACAACATCTTTCACAAGATTGCTAGTTCAAACACCATCCTTTCTTCAAACCCCTATACAGGGTCACTGTGAATCGAAACCCACTTGAAGTGCAGGACAACAGTCTTTATTTAAGAGATCTGTTTGCCGGTTTTTTTCTCCCACTTGGCAGCTGTTGGGTTTAAACCGCCAACCTTTTAATATTAAGTTTTAATTCCTCACAAATAATGGGAGCCGTGAGTTGATAACAGTTTTAATGGCATGTTTAAATGATTGCTCTTATGACCTGGCTTAAGTTTTTCAAAGACAGCTCCCTATAACTACTTCCCTCCTAAAGAAATCAAATAAGAAAAGAAAGCTGCAAATTGGTTTTTATTCTTTTTCTCTTCTTGAATGCATTGATTTCATGTGTAATATACAGGCTTAAAGTATTATAATTTGATTATTCTTAACTTTAGTTTGATTAATGCCATATATATAAATTAATTTTATGGCTAGTTGGGCAATTAGTTAACTAACCTGTCTTCTACATGAAAAAAGTCCTATACTGGAGTAAAAAATCACCTCACAGTCTGAGGTACAAGTTTAGCCAATTTCAGATGACCTTGGTGTCCTGGATCTCACTGGGTAAAGAAGTTCTGGAATTAAAAAAAAAAAAAAAAAAAAGTTGTGAAATTTAAAAAATACCTGTACATGTACAAACCAGTGACTTGAGTGAGCATTAGACTATAAGTAACAAGTCCTCAGTTTTTAAATCCTCTTGAGAAAGAAGATTGCTTATTGCAGAGTAAACGTATCTATATTTAAACAGATGTGTGCCATTGAGTTCATTCCAAATCATAGTGACCCTATGTATGGTTTCCAAGGCTGTAAATTTCCATGGAAGCAGAAAGCCTCCCATGGAGCAACTGGTGATTTCGAACTGCCAAC